TTTTTTTTTTTTTTTTTTTTTTTCCTGACTTGGGATGTAGGAGTTACGTAAAGCTGGCAGAGTCTCCGTGCCTACAGCAGAGGAGCAGGGAGGAGGTACAGGACCGGAGTATGATTACCCAGACACATCTGCAGACGAAGTCATTCCTGTGGTGAAGGGGAATGAACCCATAATCGACGAATCGACGGAGGATGTGGCAGCGGCGCCTGGAGAGAATTTGCCTGAAATGTCTCCTGAGGACATTGAGAGTAGGTTAAATCTTCTTTTTTTTTTTTTTTTTTTTTGTTTTGTTTTGTTTTTTTTTTTTGTTGTTGTTGTTGTTGTTGTTGTTGTTGTTGTTGTTGAGAGTAGGTTTACTGTTTTCGAAACGTCTGAACCTTTTCCCCCCACAAAAAACAAAAAAAAACCTTCTGAACTTTTCACGATTTTGCTGGCAGTGTATGTTCCCTGAGTCCCTGACCTTCTTCTTCTTTTTTTGATTTTTTTTGTTTTAATTAATACAATTCCCTGATATTTTCACCACAGTAACTTTGCTTTACCCTCCCAGATACTCTGAAGAGGAGGATTTGCAGGATTTTTTCTTTTTTTTTTGCCGGCATTTTCTATGCAGAAGAGATCATAGGATGTTCAGCTTTTCGCAACTCCTTACCTTTTGTTTTTCCTCCGTAAAAGGATAATTTACCTGGATTTTTTTTCTTCTTTTTTTTCTACTCGTTTTTGGAAAGGGCGCCCTGAAGTATCGTCGTCGGACTGACCGGCCCCAGGTAATTCAGAATTATTCTTCTTCTTTTTTTTTTTTTTTTTTTTTTTTTTTTTTTTTTTTAAGCATTAAATTTCCATTACAAATTATAACGAGGCCGGGGACCTCACAATTCAACCCGGAGTTGTCCTGGCAGCATCAGCCAGTTTAGCTTACGAGCAACGCTCGAGAACCATCACACTGTAACAACCTTAAGGAGCGTTGGGAAATTCAAGGAACAGATTGACCAAATATAGGCCTGTGTCCTGCTACCCTGCTCCTGACATACAACAAAAAAACGCTGCAAGCCTCAAAACCACACAAACCAAAAGAATCAACAATCCTAACTACACTAGCCTCTACAGCCACCCGAAGCTCCAACCCCACCCCACACTCTCCCCCTTCTATTCTAAGCCTAACTATTCAACATACCGTCTAAGACGACGGTGTGGACCCCACAGGGACACACAAAACTGTATAGTGGTGTTCCCTTCCCTGCAAAAGCCAAGCCTGCCTTCCTCCCGCGGAAAGTATGAACCGAGCAACCCAGGTTCAAGGGATGCAGAACCAACTATCCCAAACCAGTTTCCCTGCCTCCAATTTCACCAGCTTGCCCTCTTTGTCCCAAGTGTCTGCAAACCACTTTGCTGAACCACACCTACCTTTCCTCACCCAGTCTGCCTGGATGACCCTTCTCAAGGACGTTTTGAAACTGCTTCTGATTTCCTTATTTCATTCATTTCGTTCGCTCGGGATTCGAACTCAGATCTTAATTGTAACAGATCTTGGGCCTCGCTGCACTACTCTCGAAATGTGCAAAACGAGAGTGAATCTTACGCTAGAATATGGAAAGATACACGGCCAATATTTGTGTCTTTTGTGCATGTCGAGAGTAGTGCAGCGAGGCCCCTTGGGTGTACCAACTGAGCTGGGCCGGTTGGTTCTCTGGAAATGTTATACCCATGGGATGAGATGAGACAGTAGGTAATAGGTAAATATATATTAGGCGATGCCAAACTTTTGGTTATAATTCTGGTGGAACTTAAGGCAAACCTTTAACTATTTTTGGTGTGACTGTCACTATTTTTGGTGTGACTGTGATCTCGGGAGTTACTTTGAAGAGGGTAAATTTATAAACTGTTCGGGACGCTTGTTAAGACTGGAACGATTCAGAGAAGAAGAAGGGCAAGGATGATGACACGCTAAGTTCGGGAAACGTATTAAGAACAAGAAAGAAGAGTCATAGTTCTTTAACCTGTTGTGTAGTTCCATTTAACTGGAGTTACCTTTCCACCTCTGAAGTGAGGATTTGCCGGAATTATCTCCACAGGAGAGGAGGGGGTTGAGCTTTTCGCTAGTTTTGTGTTCCTTCACGACTCTGAATAGCAGCAGCAGCAGCAATTGGTAGGTCAGTGCATACTAGAAACCGGGAGGTCGCGAGCAACCATTTTGAGCAAATCAAGTAGTAGTAGTAGTAGTAGAAGAAGAAGAAGAAGAAGAAGAAGAAGAAGAAGAAGAAGGATTGTGAAAACAGATTGTGAAACAGTGGCCATAGATTGTTTCTCGTACAAGCATCATATGTGCGGAACTTCTCAGGATGTACAATCCTCAGCATGAAACGCGCAAATTCCCTGAGTCATACTCGTTTAGGCCAGGCTGCGCTCCTGCAGTGGCACTCCGTCGGGGGCTTTCCGAGGAAGAAGAAGATTGACTGCCGGTAGTAATGATTCAGAAGTGACATGAAGAAGAAAAAGAAGAACAAGGAGATGAATAGTGACTAATAGTGACTAGTGGTGACAAGAAGAAGAAGAAGAAGAAGAAGAATAGTGACTAGTAGTGACAAGAATAGTGAGTAGTAGTGACAAGAAGAAGAAGAATAGTGACTAGTAGTAGAATAGTGACCAGTAGTGACAAGAATAGTGAGTAGTGACAAGAAGAAGAAGAAGAAGAATAGTGACTAGTAGTGACAAGAAAAAGAAGAAGAAGAAGAATAGTGACAGTAGTAATGACAAGAAGAAAAAGAAGAAGAATAGTGACTAGTAGTGACAAGAAGAGGAGAAAGAAGAAGAAGAAGAAGAATGGCCAGAATGCATCCAAATTCGCTTAAACAGAACAATGGATTGTCAACCCAGCATGTTTCAGAACTCAGCTAGCGAAGAAGAAGAAGAAGAAGAAGAAGAAGAAGAAGAACAACTTGAAATGTGAAGTAGAAAAGCAAGAGAGACTCGTCTTAGAGGAGGGGACGGAATATTTCAGAAGTGACGCCTGCGGCATCTGTGAAGGGGAGAATTTGGGGGAATTTGGTCTGCTTGAGATAGATCGCGTTAAATGGTCCCCTAAACTTTTCACTGTAATTCAATTGTAAGTTTCTTTCAAGTTCTTTCAGTACTTCGCTGTTACAGTAGCTTCAATCTCTGGGCTTACTTTGAAGAGTATTTCAAAGAGGGCATAATATTTATATTTCCCTGGGGGAAATCGGGGCATCTTTAGCAACCAGAACGATACAGAGCATGGCCCCTGCGCACTCAAGGATGATGCTTGCAAATCGAGATGAAATGAAGTGATTAGATGAGAGGAAGAGAAGTTCTCGGCAAATACAGCTTTCCCCCTTTAGATTGATTTGAAGAGAATGGATTCGCAAAATACTTGTTTTTTTTTTGTTTTTGTTTTTTGAACCCTGCATCGACAGATAGAAGTGATGATGAGAGCATGCACTCCTACCTGTCTTGCAGGGGCTCCAGTCTATTGGTGGGGAGCTGCACCTGCTGGAAAACGGGTCCAGCGTCCCCTGAAGTATAACATCGAGTTGGTAGACCAGTCTCATGTTGGGAACCGGGCCCAGCGTCCCTTTTGATGCTAACCGTTTGTGCCATGATGATAGTGGTAGTGAACGGAAGATGGGTGTGGTGGGGGTAGTGGAAAGAGGGCTGGGAAGGGGACCATAACAGGTCCAGCTGGAGGGACGAACTTTCCCCGGATCCTAGACTCAGTCGCACCCTAATGAAGCAGCAGCTTGTCTGCCGGCACTATCGAATTCACAAATTTCACATCACACCATCTGAGTCCATCACGCATGCAAAATGGCGCACAAGGACAAACTCATAGAGTCCATCCAATCAACAAAAGGACGAACTTGGAGTCCATCCAATCAACCAAAAAAAACAAAAAAAGGAAATCCATCCTATCACCGCAAAGATGACTCGTTGGTGATCAAGGCGGAATATCTGCAATGATAATTGTAACTCATTGAGCACAAAAGCGGATCGCAGATGGTAGATATGGATATGTACATTTGTGCCGAAGGCCCTCCTCCGTGCAAGATTCAAACCGGCGATCTTGGCCTCAAGAGTCAAGTCTCTTAACCACACTGCCAGGACACGGTGTTCAAAAGTGGCCACCGTGTCTGTGCGAAAGGCCATACCGGCCATGAAATCCACCCAACTCGACACACACCACACACAACACCACATGGACGCACCACACAGACGCGGTCAGCACGTGACCCCTCCGCAGGTTCACGGTACCTAGCCCACTCACACACTCGGATCATCACTTGCCCGCAGGTTCACGGGAACCTCCACCGCAGATGGTCACAAACTGTTGCTCCTAAGAGGACAACGCTGAAGAATCTGATGTGTGAATTACCAACGGCCCTACCTCAGTTGGTATGAACTGTTGATATACAGATCCAAGTTCGAAACCAGATGCAATCAGGAGAACAGAACAAATTAATTCTGAAAGACAATGGGGCCAGTCAGTACGATGATGATATTTCAAAGCCGTCGCCCGTTAAACAAACAAAGAAGGAAAAGGAAAGATGTGTGAACTCAACGCCACCAAAACCATCCCGGTCTCCCGGTCTAGCAGTCATTCCTCCTAGAGTCCTAGACTAAGTACACGATTCCACTACTATGGTAACCCCGCTGCTGGTCTCTTTAGGAGGATAATTCTTATCCCATATTGTCAGACCTATACTCGATGCAAGTTTGAAATAAATGAAGGTCTATAAGCTGATATGTGATGACATTTAACTGTGGTTAATTAGGTTGGCTGCAAGTTTGACTTAGTCGTTCGTTACATCATGGCGATCGTGGCAATATGGACATCTGCTGCATGTGATTCAAATGTCTGAAATTATCTACAGGGAGGTGCAAGTCCATAATCCCGATCATGTTATGGTGGAGGGAAAAGAGAAGCAAATTTGCGAAGAAATGAATAATGGGAACGGGAATAGGGGGAAGAGGTCGCTATTCTGTGATTGAACACGGAAGTGTTTAGTTATTTCTGTCTTTCGCTTGTGCAAATCACGGAAATCAGGACTCGACATTTAACTGTGGACCTGTGGTTAAGTAGGTTGGCTGCAAGTTTGACTTAGTCGTTCGTTACATCATGGCGACCGTGGCAATATGGACATCTGCTGCATGTGATTCAAATGTCTGAAATTATCTACAGGGAGGTGCAAGTCCATAATCCCGATCATGTTATGGTGGAGGGTAAAGAGAAGCAAAT